CTGCCCCCCCCCCCCCTATTAGTATCTCGACAGTAGACCGTAACAATGCAGCAAACGACTGTGGAAAACTTCGTAGCATTTTGAGAAAACTACTAGTGGATAGAATGTGTAGTAGTAGAACCTAAAAAAAACAGAATAAGGCATAAAATTTGGGGTACAAACCAGGTAGAAGGAAAAAACTGAGAAACTGCTTCACAAACCAAAGATTGAGAAAAGACTATTACAAAGCCGTTGTATAAAGTATGTTTCCTTGGGGAAAACCATGAGGATGTATCGATTCGGCGCAATAAGAATAAAGCAAGGAGAGTTGAAGATGTCATGCTGTAAAGGAGATTCTACATGATAAGGCTTACAAATCCACGAGATGCATAGACGCCAGAACAAACCCCCAGCGTGAGGAAAAATGCTGTCAACATTCCGGCTACTTCCGCACGTTCCGGTGGGCAGCTCCTGAGAAACAGAATGAATACGATGAGAGATAACAGAAGTAGACAGAGTGAGCGGCCGGCAAAACGAATTTACACCGAGAGCAAAAGGAATTCCAGCTACCCTGTCGTAATTCTTCAGACTTAGAAGCAACCTCACCACAGAAATAAAAGAGATAACCTTGGGCTATCTAAATGAAATAATGAATTAAAGATGGCACAGAAAGCCACATGTTCAACCTTAGAATTTCGTGGAGGGAACTAAAATCGTGCAGACACCACTGGCTGGTACACGTCCTAAAAGCATCACGGTTCCACACAACCGAGGAAGACGATCTCGGGATGAACAGGTCAACTTATCCCACTTGGCGATACAGTCCATACTGCTTTAAGATAACGGTATGAAATAAAATGGAATACTGGATGCGGCTTCCACGAATACTCAGGCAACACACTCTCCAAACAACGCCTAACTACCGCCGTAAGATTGTGACCACTCCCATTTTCGGTCTAAGGTTGGCCGGTGCACAGGTCTCATAACTGAAACAGAACTTGAAAGACAGAACCGCTAAAGGCGTAAACATCTTTTCCAAAGGGTCCACAGACCCAAACCTCTCTTCATAACTGAAGCTCAAGTCGACTAGACAAATGTGTCAAGTGGAGGCTCGGGTCTAAACGAGAATGCCAGCCAATCAGGATCGAGACTTCTCGCCCCCACACGGAGACTTTAGTGCTGCCTTGGGGAACATACCGCGTAATAATTATCCTTTGTTTCTATAAGGGGCTGTCTCAACCAAGCGTGCTTTTCGATATGTCACATCAGGGAGGAGCAGGAAGCCAAGGACCAACAGAGGAGTTGCACCGCTGTCAGCAAGCTACATCCTTGTTGCCACTTGCATCCTTCCGTACTGGTGATACTACTGTCGGACTGAAGAAAGGCAGATCCCATAGCCTCTCATCCGCCACAGGCATCCTGAATGACTGCAGGAGTTTCGATGGACAAGATGACTTATCAAAAAGCGCCTTATCCAGTGTAAATAGTCTCTCGAACGATGTTTTCTTCAGAGCCATTTCAACAGTGTGCACATGTTCAAGACTGCGGCCGTATACCAACATAGAAATAGTGGTCCTATTCTACTCGCTCGCCGGTTAGCCACATCTTGTCATGGGCCCACCACAGGGAAGGTTTCTGTGTTAACCGTCTGATAAAAATGCCTCTAGTTTTACACTGCACGTAAAGATCTTCCATATTTTTAGTTGAAATTTAACCATTACATGCACAGTTTTCATTAAAAAAACTTTGACGTGTTCTAAAGGGTACCAGTAGTATCTTCTTGTTTACTTTTGTTGTAATCTGTCATGTACACTGATTAGGACAAAAAATTTGAATGCAACTTAGAACCACCGTTGTAACCATACACAGACCACCCGATTGTTGTTGGCCAAGTGTACAAGGGATTAGATGCAGATTATGATAGTTCTCTCCCTCCGAACAACAAACAATTCAGCTGAGGAAAAATTTTTGCGGCTTTGATGGAGGAGAGTACTAGGCAACTATCCAGAGTGGATGTCTTCTACGTTATATGCCGGTCAGAAAATGGGGTCAGTTAACAAAAAACGGTTATTATGTTTCAGAAAGGATCCGCAAGTCACTAAACCGACTTTGAATTACAGTCTAATGACTTTGATGAACTCCTCAATGTTGGGGATGAGATGGGTGAAACTATAACTGATTGGGCATTTAGCAGTTCGGAAGCAAGAGAAACGAAAACAGTCATTTAGAGGGATAAGACCACATTTAACTCACTTTGGAGCATACATCATCGTTAGTGACGAAAAATAGCCGTTGGTGAATGCGAAAATAATGATCCCGAAGACGTACACGTGATCATTTCCAACCAGAACGGGTAGTTTAGGTTCGGAAAGACCGAAATTACAAAACAAAAAGAATGGGATGAAAAAGAGTGTGCGAATCCATATGGGTATCCAGAGATATCGTGGTGCAGGCTGAAAAAGGAGATACGCAGGAAACGAAGTTTACTATGTTCAATAATGATGACGTAATAGTCAATAAGATGTGTGGTAATGTGCACAGTGACGCCAAAAGGGTAGGGTCAACAATATAGTGCTGCTAGTCTAGAGCGTGCCCCCAAAAATAGCGCAAATGGGTTTGATTCCGAATTTATTCGTACTACGAAGGACAGACTGCTCCTCAATGAGGTGCTAGCATAAACGTGGTCAACAGGTTGAAAGGAATATTATCGAAAGGATCCCATGGTACCTGATTCCGAATTTATTCGTACTACGAAGGACAGACTGCTCCTCAATGAGGTGCTAGCATAAACGTGGTCAACAGGTTGAAAGGAATATTATCGAATCCCACCCATGGTACCTCTCCGGTAACAGCCTGGGCTATGAAGTACGAAAACTGTTCAAGGGCTTAGAATCTGCCGGCATCTTAGCAGAAACACACCTAGAATCAAACATGAGGAATCAGTTTCGAACGGCGTGTGAAACATACCGTGTATTTTGCAGACTGGACATGACACTGATCAACTGGCAAGCGTCAGAGTCACCTTACTAGCGTGTATGACTCGTTTCCATACGAAAAATTCTTCCATCCAGAATAATTTTTCATCGTCAAATGAAAGTGAAATTTATGTTGGTATACTCAAAAAGACAGGATCTAAAGAGAAAGGGCTGAAAGTAATTTGAATAGCTCATATGTTCTCGTGCGATTGTGTGTGAACGTCGAGGACAAATGACGGGCAGTCGAACCTGGTAATACGACAGGATTAGGCCAAATAAGGCAGAACCGGATCTGCTTTCCAGATAGGAGTTCGACGATTCTGTCAACTGATAATAGAAGCCGAATAATGGACAATTCACTGGTACAGGAATGACCAGGTTTAGCTGCATTCTGATTCAGTAAATTCAACAAGTGTAGCAATTCACTGGTACAGGAATGACCAGGTTTAGCTGCATTCTGATCCAGTCATTTCAACGAGAAGTGCATGGTATAACGCAGTCGTTTCAAAGTTTCGCTCTGCGTCGGGTAGACATTATTTTTGCACCTGTATGAGCAACGCCTGTGTAGTAAGTGCGCTGCTTAGCTTACAGGTATAACGCAGTCGTTTCAAAGTTTCGCTTCGCGTCGGGTAGACGTTTCGCACCTGTGTGAGTAACGACTGTGCAGTAAGTGTGCTGCTTAGCTTACGCTTTTTCTCAGTTAGTTTGATTGTCTTTGGTTGGCACAGTATTCAACATACTAACTTCTACTGATAACATCTCTGCTAAGCCTGTGACTCCGAAGTGAGAGGCCCCTAAAGCTTTGGTGGCCGTTTAGAGATGGTCATTACAGTACTGCAGTAAATTTAGGAGCGGAAGTATGCTCCACATTACTCTCAGTAAGTCCAAAGTGTCACCAGCCTTCAGTGGTGAAGACTACTGATCTAGTTAGGGTGCTTGTTGCATGGATCCAGAAGCGCGACACACAGAAAATGCTGGTGGATAGGGGTAAACGTACTGTTGAAAGCAAAGACGCTGATTTCAGTAACTCAGATGCGCACTGTTCCTAAGTGAGTTGCACTCTCCGTGATTCTAACTAAGGAATCCGGAATAAAACCGGCAATGAGCGTAAGATGTTGTAATTATCGACCCTTTCACATTAAGCAATGGTCTGAGTTTTCTTGAGAAGCTGACACGCGTGATCTCTCTAGCTGTATGCAGTGTATACCTTATTCTGGGCACTCTCACACAGCACAAACATCACAAAAGCGAATTAGATTTAAGCGTTCACCGGATAAACGCTAATAAAAGAGAGTAGTTATTTCTATTCATATTTTCCGAACATCGTTGATTTGTTTGGATTTGAGTAAACCAAGCCAAATCCACTGCAAGCTGCATGTAAGAACAGCAGGCAAACTCGCATTAAGAAAACAGTCATAATTTCATAAAGGAAGTAGCAATCTTTGTCCTTATCTTGACAGTTACCCACCCGCTGCTTCCATGTAACAGCCAAGCAAAGGTGAAAAGGCTTTAGCTCCTGAGTGAATTGCAGTGTGTGGATTTCTGGACTTAACAGAACAGAGAAACACTCTGTGGATTGTTTTAGCGAACTTCGGAGCACAGTATACCTCAATGACGTGTTGAATAAACCCAACCGTCGGATTAGTCGAAGCAACAGATCAGCGCGGCAAGTAATAACAGTTCTATGCATCCACAGAAGCAGAACAAGTAGATAAAACACACTCACAAATTGTATCCAGCTGCACAAAATGCAACCAAGCATCGCGAACAGATTGAAGAATAGGAAGCATGTTACGTCCACGAACCAGAGGGCTAGGAATGAAAGAGGACAGCAGTTAATGAAGTGACTGAGTTGCGCGCAGGCTAAGGGTACACTGAATACAAGCGGCATGGGAAGCGGCCTTTCTTAATCCTAACTTCAAAAGGAGAGTGTGGTTTTGATCATCTGATAAGGAACAATGAAAAAGGAGAGTGTGGTTTTGATCATCTGATGGGGAACAATGGAGCAACAATGGAGCCAACACAACAGTAACGATGATGGTAAGATAGCTGAACATGTGACTTCAAGTGAATGCAGTGTATGTAATCCAATAAATGCGGTGATTCAACTCATTATCCGGAAGACGTATACACAAATTCAAGGCCGTTCGCCGAGTCCACAAAGATAAACACGGCCAAATCAAGTGCAACGCATTATTCAACCTCTTGTGCGAATGAGCGTTGGAGAAAGGAAACTGCAGAGAAATAAAATAGTTTCACACAAAACGAGACTAACCAGCAGACAGACAATAACAGTTCCGTATTCCCAAGTCTGTAGGGGTAGACTTTGTTTACGATAAAGTAGTCGGAAGCAAACAGAAGGGCAGACGAGCACACCAGGATTGCAAAACCAGACAGCCTCCTAGGGTGCAGCAACTGGGAAATTCTGGCAATGAGGTTCAACAAAACAAACCCGCTTCATGATGGAATGTCACAAAAACAAGTTCAGCATCATAGTAAATCATGCGCACTGGAGAAACCTCTCCAAACTGATTAGGCATACTTTTCAGACTGCCAACATACCAGAACCGAAATCACAATCAAAGTCCAATGAGATTCGGTAGCTATCGTCGGCAATGCCATTCTTTCTACAATTAATGTAATACCCTTAAAAGTCTGAAGCGTTCATACAGAGCCCAAACATCAGGGACCCGTGTCTGGGAGAATTCGTCGGGCGACCGTTGATGCTGTGCAGAAGCAGCCAAGTATGGCGACGGGTTCGGAATAATGAGATCAATATCCAGTGTTTATGCCTTTGCACCAAAATCATCGACAAGAGCCGAGCTAGCCACATGCCACAAGCAGACTGTTGGAATTTTTTTCTTATTTTAGTTGGAGAACATACCCACATAGCTTGTTGAAGAGAGTACTCACGTGCAATGAAATAATTAGGATCCACCGGTTTGACCATAGATTGAATAGCCGGGAAGACAGAAAGTGAACAGAAGAATACGGACCAAATGCTCAAACAATGATGCCAGCACTCGGAGAAGCACACGGTGTAGCGCAGCCAGTACTCACGACAGAGGCGTCTCCCGATAGGCTGAAAAATAGCACAACCAAAGATGGTATATAGTCCGCGAAACGATTTAGCATTTGGAATCAGGTTGACGTTTAGCTTTAGATGAGTAATGAGTACTCCAAAATGCAGAGATTACGCTAAATAGCCCGGCTAGGAACAGTGAATATTCTAACTGCCCAATCGGTCAAATCCGTTGAATATCCCCTCGGTTCTGAATGGAGTGTGATTTTCAAATCTTGTCAAAAGTGGATAAAATCCCACGGTCATAAAGTAAGAGTGTGATCAATGAGCAGCAACGGGCTATTCAATCAAATTGAAACGCACTTACCGATCGGAAACAACACAAACCAAAACAATTTCGCAATGTATCGACGCCACTTTTCATGACTGCGTCCGAACTAGAAGATCCGCTGAATTGCAACAGAGCGTCTCTTTCTGAACGCTCTACGTTCGGCTCCGTTGGAGGTAGTGGGCTTGTTGGAGATAGAGGTCGGAGATGTTGCGCTGTGGTAGACTCATCACGCAATTCGACCGGACTGGAACGTGAGTCGTTACGAATGGGAGGCTTTGTCAAAGAAGCGCCATCGTTATTTTCAATGGAAGGCACGGCAGACACAGCTATGCACAGTTGTTTGGATCTATTGGCATAGTGCAACACAAAGCGCTGAAAAGAAGCATGGTGTTGAAAAAGTTAGAAACCACTGTGTCACACCAAACAGCATCGAAACAAATGAAAATATTCATCAAAAAGTAGGTACGATGTTCGTTCTCTTCTAGAGAGACCATCTGAGAAGACTGACTAAAAACGGCTCCTTCTGTAAGTTCCCTTCGACCCAGTTCCGCGAGATTTGGGTTAAAAATGACACCTATTAAAACACCACCCCAAAATTCCCAAAAAAGGCAACTCTAAGTGCTGCCGAAGAGTAGGCTCTCCCCTCAACAAAGATAGGAATATGAAGTAGGCAAATTATGTACAATTTCATTTCCAACGCTGCTGAGGTTCCAAGATGTGATTTCAAACTACATGGACCTTCAATACCACAGTAATTAACAGAACATGGACCTTCTTTGAAGCGAGGCTACTGTCTTAACAGTTCGCCATCCATTTTGGTAACCCAGTGGAATGTGGAATCATGATGAAGTATATACGTAAAACGCAACAAAGTTCAGAGACCGGCTAAATAACACCTTCGTTCCATCCACAGCTGTATTTCCAAATCCTTGTGTAGACCAGATGTTTTTGGTTTTTAGCTTATCACTCTAGCACATACTGTACGCTCCTCATTTTATATATAATACGTAATATATACGTATAATATATGATATATAATACGTAAACATACTATAGACATGGTGATGTAAATTGCTAAAAACTAATTATCATCAGCGTAAGAACCGCGTACCTGTCGCACAGTGGTCGTAGTTGCTCTCAGGAGAGATCCCTACCCTTTCCTCAGCGCGTGGAGGCTGCTTTCCCATACGATGTATAACACTACTTGACGAAGGGTACGACGTAATGTGTGATACTTGCGAAAACCATCCTGTGGAGAATTCCACCAATTAGTTCCAATATAATATCTCACATACCGCACGCACTGGGGTTGTATCTTGCGGGTGGCCGTCTATGGGTTACGCCTGCACTGAGCCTGCCAGACTACGCGATAGGGAGAAGACAGAGAACTGCGGACACGGCTGTATTGCCAGGACAAAATATACAGAATGTCTGCGTAAATATATAGGATGACTAATTGGCCAAATATGCTCGTTCACTTGTTCGCTCCGTACAACCAATGGTGGTGTTCCGGTCGTGAACATTCTCAGGCCCACTACGCTGGTCGTCTGTTGCTAAGCCGTGTTTGGTGTGAGCCGCCAACTCACCTACTTTCCGGACGTGTCGTACCGATGGTGACCTCGGGGATGCGTCACTCTCTGCACATGCGCTTTTTTCCTGCCTGGGCCCTACCTGGCAACTGGCCGATACTGGCTGGCTGTCCAGATTTGCAAAGCGTCATAATCTTAGTCTTCGTCTACTATATGGACAGGCTAATGAGATTTCTGCAGCAGACTGGAACAACCGCCTGTCACAAGTGAGGGAGTCCTATTCACACAGAGATATTAGCAGTGTGCACAGAGCAGCTTCACTCTGCACAACACTTCCAAACCATAGACTGATCATTAAAAGCGATATGTGAAACCGTGGGAAGCTTTCCGTATTCCTGTGTTGCAGTGCAACAGAGAAAAACTGTTACTTGTGGCGTTCAACAGGAGCCAACTGTCCAGATGTTTTGCAGGAGAAAACGCGAAAGACATAGGTTTGATTTACGAATACAACAGAGTTTTGATGACAAGTCCCACTTCAGAACGACGGCTCCGGGGATTAAACAACTTGATGTTGCTGGGAGACTGAGAGATCGCATTGTTCCTGGGTAACTTTCTGCCCATCTGTGACTATCGATGAGTAAATTCAACATCGCTCATGCAACCTTTCATCATCATCATCATCATCATTGTCAGCTGTAATAACCGCGTACTCGTCGTACAGTGGGTGTACCTGCCGCAGATTCGTCCACCGATGATTGGGGGGAGGTAGCTGCGCATTGCAGGCGGGAGCTGGTAAATTGGTGCATAAATCCAGCACTGTCAGTGGGCTGTCAAGTGGGGGAGGGGTTGGAAAAGGAGCTACGCATTGAAGGCAATAGCTTTGATGCACGAGCGCCATTGAGGGCGCGACTGGGCCATGTCTGATAATGTCTCTAGCCATTGATGTGGCCCGTCTCGGGGTCCCCATCCAGGAAGAGGCAATTACCAGCACAGCTGAGTTTGCTGGTTTCACTGCCAAGTCATTGTTTGACCGCCTCTGGCTCTCTTCCACCCTTCACATGGTTGTGCGAAAAGAGCCCTTCGAGAAAGTCGGTCGACTGGCATACGCAGCACGTGGCCAAGCCAGCGCAACCTATGCAGTGTGATCGGTTCATCTATCGAGGGTGAATTATTTCTCCCGAATACCATTCGACGTACTTCAGAATTGCTGACCAGGTGTTCCCACCAACCTTTGGACAGCCGCATAACAAAAACGGTTAAACCATGCCATCGTCCACATCTGCTGTACTACGGCACAAAGCTCATCACAAGTGCTACATCAGCACCAACGATTTCTAGACACCAAAAGGAGTGAACACGTCAAACACACAGTATATTCTGGACGCTATCATATGACGTTAGTCGGCAGAACACCAAGATTTAAGCATGTTCTACCACCCTCAAAATAAAAAAGAGTTGCGCAGATGTACCTTGCACAGGTGCAATCGACCTTTGGTCTCCTTGGAAATAGTTATACAGAATGATTCGCCAAAATCATAATTTTTAGCGATGAACTTTGTGTGGTAAGGAATACGGATACAGCCAAGATACGGATCGTAAAAGCGATGTGTGTGGACGAGTTGTGCCAACGCTGATGCACTTCATTCAGCTACCTAACCAAGTCGGGATAAGTGCCCTCGAAGAATTTCCAACTCGAACCCAGTCTTGATAAATCCTGGGTATCAGTTCGCAGCAGTGAAGAGAAAACTGCGGTAAACAATCAAAAACTGAAAAATTCTTAAAAACAGTGCCGGTAGTACTGCTGATTTATTTTCAAAAGATCCGATATCAATATATGTAAGGGCACGTTTCACTTCCATAATATTAACGGTTACTTATTCACACGGTCAATAGAGGGCGATCTTCGGGAGAGACCAACCCCAACTTAAATCAGCTGAGTCGTTCTCCGTACAAGGTCCTCATCCGAGGGGACTACTTTATGTGGTTGTATGTTCAGGATTGTCGTGGTAATCCTGCCGTCTCTAGTCAATATCCACCAAATGCATGTTTGTCTGTTTGGATAAGATAGTCAGTCATAGTGTCGTTTCTGTCGCTGACATACAGCCTAGTTAACTGGTGGCCAACGCCCACGTGACCTTTCAGCTGGGGCTCTGCTACTCGCATCTATCGGTCGTTACCGGAGTGAGCTCTGACATTGGTCCCTCTGAGATACAAGCGGTGACCTCAGCTGATGTGACTTCATGAAGGTTTATCAGATAGTCTGCTCCATTTGATTAACACAGAGTCACCGGTCTTGGTCGTAAAAAGAAGTCATGCTTGCATCAGCTAAATTCTACTAGTTTTCAGATGCTCCGGAAACCTCATCATTTGAAAGCGCTACATGAACCCCATTTTTGAGGAAAAAATCAAATTCATGTTTGAAATGATGGTGAATCACCCTCGGCTGGGTATCGAGTAGACACATCGGTCACACAAACAACACGACAGGTCAAACATTGGGGGAGGGCGACAGTATATCCCGGTGGTCCACGAACTCAGTCATTTGCTTCAGCCCACTGTTTTTCACAGAATACACATCCGCCCACATAACCCGCGCAATCTGAACACTTGTGAGTTTACCCGCCGTTCAGAAGAGTGCAAGCAGAGCTTCACTACCCTATCCTCTGTCTCAGTACACTGAGTGGTTTGCTAGGGTGCTAAGATTGAATAGTGAAACTGTGACCTATGGTACATCGATGTCGCCAAACTGGTAGGCCAATTAATAAGTGTCCAGCCGAAGCGCACCCTTGATCTGCTGATGTGCAAGGTGGGAATACTAATGTGTGTTGAAGGCAGTAGATGACTTCAGCTCTGCGGGAGGTGAGCCAAGTGCAGCCATTATGTAAGATGGCCTTTTCACCAGGAACTGCAGTGCCACAATGGGCAATTTCTTTGCTGACACAAAAACCGGATGCGTACTACGAGGAATCGGCAAAAATAGGTACCACACTATGAACAACATGACAATTACGACTATAATCACTACCTCTGTGAGTAGCTTCTGGTGGTGTGACAAGGACGAGCAACTGTTTGCAAGTAAGCCAACAAATTGGGAACGCCTGGAGCCCATCAGTAAGCCGTCGATTCAGAAAAGTCTGGAAGCAATCGTCAGATGTGTTGCGGGGCCACGTATTCCTTTTGAAATGCCACAGTTTCTTTTCGTTAACCTGTGTTACTAGTTACTTCGTTACCAGTCTGAATTCACAGACAAAAGAGTTACGTATCACTGCAGTTCCTTCGTTCTCCCATCTATTTTCAGTTTATCAAAACGTCACTCGGGTTCCTTTACAATTTAAAATTTGTACACAAGAAATCACCGCTAGGGTGCACACGACTTTTCGATACTTGACTTCAACTATTGCTCATGACAGGCTTAACATGCCTATGAGCCCCGAAACATTGACAAAGAAAAAATCGAATACATTTTCCGAAAATTTATTACGAGACTACACTACTTAACATACATTGCTTGGTCAAATTGGTACACTTCACACTGGAGTGGAACTGAGCAGTCATGAACACAAGATGACATGAGGTAAGTGAGCATAACAGGAGATATTTCAAGATAGCAACTAACCCAGGAGTGGGTTCCTCAGAGGAAGTAACTAAGAAAAAGAATACAGTTAGTAACCCTTTAGAAATTGACATCAAGTATGGTTGTTGGTCTGTTCGCCGAGCTTGGCCGTTGGATTGCAAACGTTTCATCACCAATCGAGGTGACATCGTCAGTGCAGGGTTGAGTGGGTGAATTCCTCCTCTTCTGCCTGTGATTATATAGCTTCTAAACAGTATCTGGTAGTTCTGGGAACGGTCGCTGTGTAGTTTGATTGGTCCCCTGTGAATCTGACGTGGTCTCAATCTCCTGTGTCTGGTTGGTTCGTTGGGTGAATTCGATTCGGCAGTTCTGTATGTGGTTGTTCTGTTGTGATTCGGTCGTTTCCTTCTTGCTTTGTGGCGTGGGTTTTGTTCACTTGATTGGTTGCTTCATCGGCCTTCTGTTTTTCGTGATTGTCTTCCTTTGACCCAATTAGTCCGTTGGTTGCCGTTAGGTTTCTTGGTTCCGAGTCCTGTGACTGTGTGGTTCTTTTGTTCGTAACGGCTGATTTGTTCTGGAAATGGTCGGCGTGTAGTTTGATTGGTCTCCTGTGAATCTCACGTGGTCTCAATCTCCTGTGTGTGGTTGGTTCGTTGGGTGCATTCGATTCAGCAGTTCTGTATGTGGTTGTCATGCTGTGATTCGGTCGTTTCCTCCTTGCTTTGTGGGGTGGGTTTCGCTCATTTGATTGGTTGATTCATCGGCCCTCTGTTTTTCGTGATTGTCTTCCTTTGACCCAATTAGTCCGTTGGTTGCCGTTAGGTTTCTTGGTTCCGAGTCCTGTGACTGTGTGGTTCTTTTGTTCGTAACGGCTGATAGACTGGGTCAATGTCGATGTGTTTATTGATCGATTTTTGTGTGGAGTACCACGCCTCGGCAAATTCTCGCTCCCGTTTTGTTCTTGAGCAAGTATTTGAATAGTATCCCAATTGAACTTGTGTCCTTCTCTGTCTTCGTGAATTGAGACGAGTGACATTGGATCATGTCTTCTGCTGGCAAGCTTGTGTTCGTGTATTCTCGTAGCAAGTTTTCTACCCGTTTGGCCAACGTAGTGCTTATCGCAGTCGCTGCATTCAAGTTTGTAGACCACGTTAGTCTTCTTCAAAACATCCAACCTTCCCTTTGGTTTCGAGAGAGTTCTTCTCAACGTGTTTGTAAGCTTGAAGGCGACTGTAATTCCATATTGCCATAGATGTCGTGCAATCATCTCCGCCACGTTTCTGATATACGGCAGCGTAATCCTCCTCTGTTCTGGTTGTGTTGACGCATCAGCTTGGTGGTGGTCTC